GTCTTCATTACATTTGCATTGTTTATTCTTTTCAAACGCTATTACGTACCTGAATAACAGACATAATCCTCTTCTACTTGTGACCATCAGTGAAGGATGATTCAATTCACTTCCTCTATGGTCAAAGTTTCTCATCTTCTCTTAACATTCGTCTCATTCATGTTGAAGAAAAAGCAAATGCGTTTGCCCACTTTTAGAATCACTCACTTTTCTGTATTGTATACCATCCATCATTCGTTCAATTATTCCTTTGATACGAGCGAAACATAAACGTCTTTTTGAACGTAATGATAAACTATCACTGATATTCTATTAGCATTTTTGTGCTTCGAATATACAGCTTTTTCCGAGTACTTACTTTTCATGTTTTCACAATATATTCTAACTCAAAACTGAAACATAAACTATACTTCGTTATGTTCAACATTTGATAGAACGTCTTCTAAAAAACACTCTGTCTCCATAGAATGACAACTAAAAACAAGTAATAGTCATAATATTACGACCGTCATTTATTTTAAGGCACTCGTTTTCCACATTTAAAGAATCAACAATTCTTCATAATGATACAGAATTTTTTGTATTAAAATGAGCCAAACAACAAAACCAATAATATCATATGCATTCTAAATCAAGTGTGAGTGTGGGTGTGGGTGTGGATGGGGGTGGGGTGTGCGTGTGACTCTCTTTTTCTACGAGATGCACAGTCACGGCCACACCCGCATCTACATCCACACACCCTACACCCACACCCAATACCCACATCCACCCACACCCCAGACCCAGACCCACACCCAACACCCGCATCCACCCCTCACCCTTCGAGATTTTTATGTTCTGTGTTTGAATGTTTGTCGTACCGTATGAAATGAAAGAAGAAGAGAAGTGACATGAAGTGCCAATTGTAGAAGATTGAAATCACTTGATATGTTATCAAAGACGGTAGCAGAAAAATTAAAAAGTTATGTAATTTAAATGGCTTTTTAGACTCTTAAATAGCATTAGAATACGTCTGGTTACTTTTTTAGATTTTCGTGTCTGTTCACTGCTGCATATTATTTTTCGCATTTTTTTATAATAAAGGGATAACGTCGAAAATTATGTCCCAACTTAGATCCATTTCAGTAGCACAAATAAATAAACAGCTTTTTCGTCTTGTTTGCTTTCTTTGTAAAAAAACCAATAAAGTATTTAGAAAATCTGTTCAACGAATTGATTTTTGCCCTTATTATCTTGATTAACGCATGACTTGGGATATTTCATTCCCTATTTATAGTGTTAATTTTTACGCCTACTGTTATAATTCAAATCTGAGAGAGTGTGAGTATGAATTAAGATGTAATCAACACTGAAAACAATATCCTCACCTATGATTAAGAATTTTCGGTTTAAAATGTTCTTATCATCAATAATATTTGTCCTGCTCGGCGTTTTTTCAAGCATACACCTGTGATGAATTCTTCGTTCGAGAATCTCGACCAAAAATCGATCTTCAATTCTTTTTATTGTCCAAAAGATGTCCATTCATGTTCATTGTGACTTTAAAAAGCTGAAAAAAATCGATCAAAAAATATATATTCAGCAGACTGATACTGCTCAACATATCATAGATAATTTTCAGTGCATGTAGATGAGACATTATTTTATAAGTCTTCTGCGGGCATGGATGATGTGGTTTATTTTTTAATAATCTCTTAAAATCCATTCTTAGAAATGTCAAACAATATTTATATCGGTATTTTTCACAAAGAGAGCAGCCATCATTCCATAATAGCTTGGATGATGGTAAATGAAATCTGTTAATAACCATTTTGCCGAAGAATCAACAGGTTTAGTTGGATTCAATGTAAGATTTTGAATATATTCATTTTTCCTAATACCTTGCATTGTCAACGAGTCTGAATAGCCACAACTAAAAGCTATTTCCTCGTGTGGTCCTGCTTCATCATATAATAATTTCTGATCTAAAGTAAATAATTTTTCATTGGAATCCGATCTTTTTCCTGTGATCCAATCAATAACAGCTTTGTCAAATGGTTCGGCATGCTCAGTACCACATGGAGAGAAAAGCGTATGACATTTTGGATGTGGTTGAAAAGCAGATGGCATTGCTGTGGACCAACAATATGTGTGAGCTTGATCCCCACTTATGATTAAAACAATACGACGAATCACACCATGATCGAATTAGTCGACCCATTTCTAACAATAGAGTGGATTGATTTCGGTGAAATGACTGTATATCATTGACTATGGGTATTTGTAAAATACGCGAAGACTCATGAAGACTCCTAAATTCGGAGCTGACACTATCATTAAATAGAGCTCACCGAGTTGATTCTATGAACATCCACGAAGACCCAAAATCGTTCAACATTAAAATGATTTTCCAATGAACACTGTTTTTTTTTCAATCTACGAAGATCCACGAAGACCCATATCTTTTGCCAGCTAGTAGACGTACTTGAGTTAGGTACACACCCAAAATATCAAGCTTTTCTCAGCTTGCTGAAGAAAAATAGCGCATATGAATTTTCTCAATTTTAAGCCTAATGAGCTATTTCATGTAAGTTACAACTATAAGTATAGAGAAACTACTCAATCACATTCGATAGATTTTGTTCAATTCAACATATGTTTAGAGGGAGTAGTTTTATGAATTTTGGCATAAGCTATTTTGAAAAATATTGAACGTTCGATTTTTTTATGGATGTTTTACTAAAAGTCCTAAGGCATACATTTCGACCAACGGGGGTCTTGAC